CCGGCACCAAGCTTGGTTAGCAAAACGTCTTCGTATGACGATTCCAGCAAATCAATGAAACGTAATGTTTTTGTCAGAAAGGTTTTAGCCTTCTTCAAGTAGGCTCCGCTGGATCCCTTAAGCCCGTAAGTTTCTGCAGTACCCAAAAATGCACCATCGAACCGATTTGGGTACGGCGATACACGCAGTTATTAAACCTCGACATACGTGTTATGATTTTACTACGTCTGCTATAAGTTTACATCGGAAGGCGCTTGACGTCGACACAAGGAGACATGTTAAAGTCTTATAAAGAACTTATAAATGCGATTATAGTTACTTAACTTCCTGTTATTAAGTAAATACATTTGTTATGTGTGATACATTTCAAATTGCTTAATTCGAACTTACTCTTAATACAGACATACAGTATGTACATATATTGTACGCGGATGTATCGCTTTCAATGACAAATAGATCTTCAGTAATATTATACGTCGGCTTTTTTTTTGTTTTGGTAAGAGCAGCTCAATCACATTGATGATATTTTTTCGGGATGATAGATTTTTCGGGAAGTAATTTTTGAGTAATTCACAAGCTTTGTTGTAAGTAATCTCTTCAGCAATGTTTATTAACCCTGGCCCGCTATACGGATATCAACTATCCAGCTGTCAGCAAACTGACAAAAATGGTCAGCATCACCGATGGTGGCCGATCAGTAAAGCTCCTTTAAGTTCATAAGATCAGTATTCTATTAGCCTGGATATCTCGGTGTAGATAGTATGCTTTGCTAATTAGTAGAAAAAAATAACTTACGATTCTTGTAAATGGTTAATTGACACAGGTAACCCTTTCACTGTCAGCAAACTTTTTTTTAACTGGAGGCATATTTATTGGCACTGAAAGCTCACTTTTGAGCCTACTTCGGTTCTCCTTTTTCCTTTTTTCCTCCATATTCCGATTTTGACTGTAGATGACGTTCGTCCTTAGAAAAACTCGACGCTTGATGCTTATCTTCCTTATAAAGATCCTAAAGCGCGGACTTTCAGGCCGTTGGTCGGGCCTATAGCATTTTTGCTTTTTCTCCGATCAAAAGCATCGAGGAGGCCTGCAAAAAGGGTACAGCTTATCTCTGTGATCGTTACGATCATTCCTGCACCGTCTGCTTTAGCGAGCTGTGTGACTGCCCAGCTGGAGCTTCATGGCCCAGTGAAAGCAAATGATCTTATCGCAAAGCCACTTTCCCCAGACCCTCTTCTCTAGCTGCGTCAGAATGGCCCTTTTTTTTGGCGTTGGGCCCCTCGAGGTTCGAGGAACGCAAGTCGGCTACAATGTAAGCGCTCATCCGTGTACGGATCCGTCCCATTCATCCATCCATAAGGCGGAAGCTGGCGTCGTCATTCACTGTGATTTCGTACCTTTGCATTTTCTCGCAGTAATTGCCCTCCGTCCGTGGCCTGGCTGCACTTCTGTAGATTTCAGTCAATAAGAAGAAACATAATTACACTGCACTGTACCAGCTTCGGATAGTATATACTTTTTCGGTGATACGCAAATAGTTAAACTTTATTTGCCACATTTCAGTTTACCGAGAAGATTTTATCCATTCCTTCCACAAGAGGCGAGCGTTGCTTTAGATGACCATAGTGGAAGAGTACAACCTGGAATAACAAGGCAAATAAGCGCGATAATTCTAAAAAAACACACGGTTTTGAAAAGTTTAAACATACATGATAAAATATGCCGTCATGTAGAGGTTAGAAGATGTCAGAAGATAGTAACACGCTCTTTATGCGAGTGAATAGAAACTCGCCAAGGAATTTGGTTCAATCGCGATTAATTTCGGTAGCGTAGGCCATTATATAACGATCGGATTTTACATAGACTTCGCCATGTTTCAAATATGTTTTTCTTTTTTATTTACTGTAAAACTACAACTGGTTTACCTGTAAGTCGGTTACATAGTTGAGCGTTGCTTTTTACCATTGCAGCTGTATTATGCAACGCAGTGACTTGCTTGTTAAACGGTCGAATGGTTATACCTTCTTGTCTGCACTTCTTTTTTCCTGCCTAGGATGTTGTCTTCCCAACGGCTAGAGGGTATTGCAGCTAGAAATACTGTCAACGGCATTGTATGCCGGGGTTCTACTACGGCAGGAGCAGCCTATGAATTGAAAGAGTGCGCATTACCGTTAGCTGGGTGTTCTCCATATGTTACAGCATGAACGTGGATTGCATCAGGCGTGTGAGGAAATAGAGACAAAATGCTGTGTATAAAAATAGTCAACTGAAGTTGGCGAGGTTTGAAAAAGGAAAAAAAGCTATCCTGTCTGTCTTCCTTATTCTGTTTGCATTACTTTAGGAAGTATGCGTTTCATTGGCGAGCCCTACAATTCCAAGCCGCAGAATAATATGTATTTCGAATCCAGCGAAAGTATCTCCTCTTAATGGTGGCGTCGTTTGGTGTGTTTGTGCCTCTTAATGTAAAGAGGTAAAGAGGGTAACTGTGTGATGATGGGGGGAAAACTAGGCCCGTTTGCAGATGGCCTTTGCAATTGCGCGTCATGTTCACTTAGCGCATAACTATCCTCATTTCTGCTTTGCTCTTTCAGTTTCATAATTCGCTTATCTTTCGTTTGTGTCTTTCCTTGTCTGTCTACTTTCCCCTGCCCTTCTTCCCTGTAGGGTTTTTCTTGGTAGACCTCACGTCTCCCCTGAACTATCCTTGCTGTAGCAGCGTCTCCCGACTAGGCTTTGCAAGCTTAGCATTTCCGTTTTCCTAATTACTCCGGCGCCATATTTTGTGCCATTGTGGCCGTCTTCCAATTGGAGGGTTACTCAGCGGTTTCTACGTGTCTAACTGCCGACGCTCGGCGTAGGCTGAAAATCGGAGTTAAGATAATTAATGGAGGACAATAACTTTGGGTCTATCTGAAGCCGGGCGCATAGGAAGGACCTATGAACGAACGTGTTACGTGTGACTCATATCCGCCCACCACATCGGTGCCTTCATCTTTTCTGCGAAGCTCCCGGTCCCTTTGCTGCTCCATGGATGATGCTGGATAAGACCTTTATGATGATAATTGGTTTTCGTAAGCAGCTGTCTGTTGATCTCTACGTACAGTTTGTCTTTACTATACTTCAGCCACACCTGTCAACTGTATATATAACTATATTCACCCTATATTATAGTAGTGTATCAACAGATTGCATCTTTTGGCAGTCGAATAACATGTCTCGTACTTAATAACTAATTCTCTTACAAAAAACGCGTGTATATAAAAAAAATAATTAAAAAATAGATGTTCTATATTCTAACAGGCGGATCCATATGGGCACACAATTCCTGCGTCTTTGATCGTTTGAACGATTTAGGAACTTGTTATTCTGAGCAAATGCACTAGGACGCGTGGTTGAAAAACAGTTCAATGGTAGGTAGAAAGCAACAACAGTCCTATGCCTGTAGAATACATATATGCGTCCTACGTTTTGTAATTAAAGCTTACTCTAAGTGAGAAGACATTTCGTTATCTTGATTTTGTTTTATCTGAAGCCTTTGAGCAAACAGGTCTTCAACTAATATATTGTATAATAAATGCAGAAACCTGTTCACATTCACCGTCTCCAACGCTATTACGATGTGTATTCTTTTTATTGGCGTGAGTATAATTTTATTGGCTACTATGATGACTTTAACTGCACAGTATGATTGCCTAGTTCGGCAAAGTTTACCAGACCGTTTAAAAGGGTAAGCTTACATAGTAAAATTGATATGTACCAGAAAAAAAAAAACCCAAAGTTAGAATTGCTTTAGCTTAGGATGCTTGTATTGAGCTCGATTATGTTTCTTAGGATTATGCTTGTTCTTAGAAGCACAATGAAAATAAGATCTGGCAGAGAAGCCTTTTAGTCTTCGAACCGTAATTGATAATGTCTGTTGGCCAGGGAACACTTACTAATAGCTTGTAGAGGTATTTCGTTTCAAAGGCTCTTGGTATACGAGTGTTATAAACTGACGAAAAAAAAAAAAATAGGTGTTAAACAATTACATGTGCTTGAAAAGCCAGTAATATTAATAATGTCTATACGGAATCACTAAATAGTTGACCCTGTTGAAACCTTCTGAGCTTTAACTAATGATAACTGATACATAGTTCCTAGTATCATCAAATTTATAGAAAAACAATCTAGGCGCGATGGCTATGAAGTGAAGCAACGATGTTATCACACTAAAAGTGTCAAGAGCCCTTGATTTTCTTAAATTGCTTGACGTAAATCTTTCCTTCTATGTGTATGTATAGCCAGTTCTTTAGGCGAGTCCGGGCTGGAGCGGGAAATCGTTGTTTACTAAGCAAAACGTCTCATTTGAGATCTTTTTTCCTATAAAACTTTGAACGAAATCCCTAGTGAGACGCCTACAGGAGCAACAGTGAACTACATTTTCTCATTCATATTCTGTAAGTCCAGCACTTTTGCACAGAAATGCTTGGCCGTAAATTATATTTAATCTCAAATAATATAAGGTAGATGTGCTACTATATACTGCATTATTATATATTTACGTATGTTTTGCTGAAATTCTATTTTCATGTAGTAAAATTAATGAATTTACTTTCGTATGGCTTCTCCTCACGGTTCAGGGTTCTGCCGAATGGGCCAAGACGTTTACATATTTTTTAACTTCTGCTTTTATTTTGGATTTCGTCTTCCGTGCCCGTGCTGCATGCATCTAAAACGGGCGAAAATCCAGTAAAGCAAAGGTTTAAAGGTGCCCATTGAAGCTGAGGCAATTTAACCCAAGTGTGCAGACAAAATGTATAGTGAACGTTTTTCAGAAGCTGCCCAAACCGGCTTACTATAACTATATAATTAATCTAACGGCCGCTGGCGTTGTCTTTCAGTCTCTTTACTTAATAGTAAAGATATCCAAATCGCTTTGGGTTTGTTCAACAAGGCGATAGTTCTGAGCTAAAGAAGCAAGTAAAAAAGACACCAGATGGTACTTTATTTATGTATGATTTTATTTTTGGGTTTATCCTTCAGCTTTACCTTCCTCATTATCATCGTCGTCGTGCTAATTGCCGTTTATATAATATTTTTCCTCATTGCCTATATGTCACAAAAATAACACACCCCATCACACAATTGGTTATCTTTTTTCCATTTTTCACTCTGTGGAAAAACGGCTACATTTTTTCTTGCTGTGTAACTCTCGACTGTTTTTCTGTCCTTCGTGTTTGATAGTTAGTTACCTGGCCATAAGTACAATTTAATGTTGAATTATTTTTGATACAATTTTAGTATTGTGAATTACTTTGAATTTAGGCTCCACAGTCACTCTATTTTTTTTTTTCTTTTTTTTATCCATTTTCAATATTCCGAATCGTATATGTATAAACTCCATATTTGATGACGATCTTTGATGCCATTTCATCATTCAATCATAGTAACAGTAGCATGACTGTGTAGTCAGAATCAATCACCATTCAGGAATGGTGTGGCTGATGGCGAGAAGAGATATGTTAGCTGTTTGTGTCGTTCTCATAATCTCCGTAGCATCTGTGTAGTATTGCCATTTCCATTGTATGTTGTTGTTGTTATTAATGCTTGATATTTATGTATGTATAAGGTCATCTTGTCCTATTGACGACAAGCTTACGCTGTGAAACAGACATTCAGCTATTTTTATCTGGTGATCACAGATTTAGCTGGCCATTTTTAATGAATAGGGTTAAACATTACATATTTTTTTTTTTTAGTGATACTGTAATTTCTACTACAATATGGTACATAATATCGTTCTATACATTGACATTGGCTTTATTCACTTATGTATATTCGTTCAGATTTCTGCTGTCCTAATGGCTGTGATAAAGCGTCCTTTTCTTGACACTTACTCAATCAACTACAATAATCAACAGGTTCAGTCTCTCTGATACTCATCCTGGTATACTGAGCACCAGCTTTACGTAAAAAGGTATAAACAAGGCTTGCAACTGTACAGGGATGTGCTACGTATCGTTAGTAATTTATCTCCGTAACATCAGCGTTACACGGTAGACATTTGCAATGTACGTATGGCTGCTACCCTATTGAATTGAACTACTGATTAATCCAGAATCCGGCTCGTCTATTTAACCCGTGATGCTCTTCTTCCTGGTTCAACTCGATCCTTTCACAGTATCAGCCACTTACGCAAGTAGTATCGACAAGCGGCTATTTTTTACTGAATCAAATGTTTCGTTCTCCAAAAGCCGTGATCACCTTTTTGCGTGACATAGCTAAGGGGTTAGGTCAGCGAATTTTTCACAGGAAAAGTTTGTGCCTTATTTGATTGCTGCACTTTTATTTACAGGAAATCTTCCACTTTTATTGCTGCACTGCTACCATTGAGACACTAGGCAGGCAAAACTACCTGTTGATACAGGCTTGGCTGGGTCTGTTATGTCATGTACTTTAGAGGACACGAAAAGATGGGGACGTTCCCTGCGCGTATGTAGACGTCATCCGAATCGAAGAATTTGGCTATCAATTCTGCTTCTAGGAAGAGGGAGTCTTTATTAATTGAGGATCGACGATTATAGGTAAGACGGCCACAAACTAACCACGATACTGCCCAGCCTTTCTAAGTAGCTGTCGTCGTGTGACATGTGCCTGTCTATGTGTCTGAATGAGTGCTCCTCAGGTCGTTTGAAAGTTCTGGACTTATTAGCCAGCTCAAGTTTAGTGGAGCTGGTTGTGGAATGGCTAGGACGTCTATGTAGTTTCAAGGTCCTAATCGAGTCTCTTGACGCTGGGGGGTTGAAAACTGGGCCTAACGGCACAGCCAATACCGCGGCGGTTTCGTTTGTCGCCGCCAGCGCCACTGTCTTACTGAAGAGGATGACGGTGAATGACGGGATTCAAGGGCATGGATGGCAGGATGTGCCCCAGGGGCAAACCGATCCGGGAACTAAACGAAGGAAGGAGCAAATGGCCTGGGTCAGGCCAAAGGCTTGAACGATGGGCCAGAAAACTGAACAAGCGAGTAAGCGGCACAAGGAAAGTGGTGGAATTCAGGCCCCATTGCATGAAAGTTCAGAGAGTGCGGGGTAACTCCGGCAAAAGTACTATGTTATGAAGGCAGGCGAAGTATCATCGGTAACGGTTGCCTTTGACAGACGAAAAACGCAAAACGAGCGAGCGAGCGAGTAAGAGAAATAGGAAAGGAACGGCGACGACAAAGCAGGAGAGCAAGCAGAAGGGTAAGGTGGGGTTAAGGGAGCCTTTGCCGTCACTGCAAACACAGGGACCGAAAAAAGAACAAGGGTCATATTTTTCGAAACGATACACAAGTGAGAAGAACTGACGAAACTCCTCTTGCCCTTAGAGTAGAAAGAGGCGGTGTGGTGACTACGACAGTGCTCGGACGTATGGGATAGAATGCTGGAAAAGGAACTAGGCAAGGGATCCGGAAGTGGGTAATGTTGAGAGATACACGGGAACAGGGGCAAACGACAACGAACCGAAACAACGATCGCTGACGGAGAAGAACTGGCGAAAAGACGATAGGCGGATTTAGCAGCTCAACAAAGGTGGAAACGTCATCCCGCCAAGCGAAGAACCAGCTGCCACGGCAACGACAACAAACGCCTCTACCGGCGGCTTCGTCGCCTTTGCTTACGCCACCCCGATGCTCTCATCACCACTAATATTTCCCTAAGCAGTGTAAAGGTTCCCACACGATAGCGCTTGTGATGTTCTGCCAGAGGGAACTGAAATAAACCGCTGGCTCTAGCATCGTCAGTCCCTGTCGTGCGTCCTACGCTGGACCACATGCACAACATAGGTAATGAAGATCAACAGATAGTTTACTGATGCAATCATACTTCTGTGCCTTACGTTTTTGAATGGCTAGCTTACGGGTAGGTAGCAGGTGAGTAGTAAGGAAAGATGCCTATAGAAACATTAAGGTGGAGTCGTTTGAATAACAAAATCACATTATAAAAGTCGACCCAACCTATACAATCAAAAACCGATGCATATTGTATATGCAAACAAGCTAACTAAATGAATCCCTTAGCGTATCTCGTGACCATGCAGCAATCTTCCATACACGTTTCTATAGTAAGATATAGTTTTTCAGCGACTCGTTATTACGTCCGTTCAATGATTTCCCGTTGCCGTTGTTGCTGTCGTTTAACGCATGAAAAATTCGACGCAATTCCAACATCGACAGGAGGCAGTAATTACCCTATGAAGATTTATCTGTATGTATGTACATGTGTATTCGCAGCGATAGGATGTATACTCTGTGTACTTGCTATATATATAATGTATCATGCATATATCTATTTATGGGTATCATTTGAGTAGTAATAATACTTTCATGCATACTTAACCTCAACGGTCATTTATTAACTCGTACTATAATAGTATTTGCTCAAGTGCAGTGCATATATCCCTATCTCTTTCTTTGTCTCCCTGCCTCGTATATATCATTTTTGACTTCGATAAGTTTCAATAGAACACTTGTCATTGCTTATTCGGCCCCCCTTTTACTTTCTGTCGTTATCTATATGTGTCCGTACTGCCGCTTGCATCCTTTTTTGTGTTACCGCCCACATATATGTAAGCATGTACCGACTGAGGGGTATTTGGTTTCGTTTCTTCTTTATTTCCATTGTTGAGTCCGCTGTTATATAAGATGTGAAAGAGGTAACTGTTGTTTTTTAGTTCCGGTTTCTTATCTGGTCTATTTTGACTGAGTCGCTTCTGAACACCTGAGTTACTTCACCTGGAGTACTCAGCGTCCCCGTTTTACAGGTGTGAGGGTAGCAAACAATGTAAGTATGCGTGACGTTAGTCCTCGTCGAAGGGAATACGTATTCGGAGGGCCAAATTTGGCCTCGTTCTATACTTGCCTTCAAGAACGATCCACTCAGACTTGGGGTTCAAGAGTAGCTAAACGCTAATCTGTCTTCGCCGCGAAACTCGCGAAGCAAGCTACAAACGGGAGTGTCTCTCGGATATGCAGCGGCAATGAACCGATGGTCCACTGCTATCTGCTTTCCCTTTATATCCCGCAGACCCCTTTTTACCTCCGTCCCATAAGCTTTGAATCCCAAAGGCGCAATAAATAGTAATTACGCTGTTGTGACTTGGCGGCAGCTTGCTTTCATAGCCGTATTCTCCAATGGGCGTACTGTACGTGTACCTTTCAGACCTCACAGACCGCCGTCGGCAGAAGGACGCTTGTAATGGACGTCGCGTTGTGTCCTCGCAGCAGACCTCCTGTCGCTTGCAACAAAGAAACGGCCTGGCCTGAGCTCTGGTCCCACGTCCCACGCCCTTCCCATTGGCAAAGCGAGCTGCCCAGAATCGTGGCTCACCATCGTCATATATAAGACGCGGGATCTAACGCACTTACGATACAAAGACAGACAAGACAGCAGACAAGCATTGCCCCGTTGTTCACGCATCATAACGTTATACGTATGTATACTTGAATTACACGAATTGACTGACTAGCTGGATAAGCAGTCAGGGCGCCCCGTGACTAATCAAAGGAAGTTGCACTCGTACGTTCGCTTTGTGAGGACGAGGCAGAAGAGAAGCTTCCCACAGCAATTTGCGATTTCTGCCTTGACGGCGCTTTAGATTCTCCGTGCAGGCTGCTTGCCGAGTTGCACAATGCATGCTACAGTCGAGAGAACTAACGTAAGCGCATAGCGGCGCATATGAGAGAGCAGGATGCATGCAGAATGTGCCGGCATCTCAGTCACCTGCCAGGCGTGTCCGTCACACCCTATGATGAAGGATTGCTGCACTATATAAGCAATCTATAAGCAAAAGTCTTCGCTGCTGGCTCGTGCGACCTTGGGCGTCGTGTCATTATTATCCAATGAAACCATTGTATCGATGTGGTCATGGGCAGCGTGTGAAACTGCAGACGCCCCACGGTGCAAAGAACCGTGCCGCGCACGCGTTGAGTAGTCGGAAGGCCGGTCACCTGATTTGCAAAAGTCATACACAAGATACATAGAAGATGTTAGTTCAAGCAGGATGCTGCTGTGATGGCACTAGACTTACCTTTGATGTATATCACGTTTTTCAGGCTCTGTACCTCTACTTTGCAAACAAAACTAACTGCAATAAGAGGCTTTGACAAGAATTTTATTTATAAACTTAGTAGCTTTGCATTTCCTGCAAAGCTGAATTGTTTTTGCGATACACGCACCCATAGCAAACATGCTGCAAAAATAACACTTGTGGACATATTTATAGACTTGTAGGACTAAAACTTGCTCAAGTCGGTTCTACTATTTAGTCGCAGTTTAGTAACTGCCGAAATATAAGCAAAACGGATGAATTTTTGCTACGAAATTTAATCATCATGGTCATAAAGTTTGGGCTTCACTAAGTATTGCAAAACAAGATAAAAAGGCATTCAATAAAAAAAAGTATTGACGCTAGGGAAGATAACGCGCAGTCAGCCAACATCATCTAGATTAAACAACAAATATGGTCGAATGATATTACGATGGTTATTGTTAACGTAAATACAATCGTATGCTTCATCAGACGTTTACGTTACGGCAACTCTATATTTAAACCTCTTTTTTTTTTTGCCAAACATGAACATGAACATACAACAACGTTTTCATACATCTATCCGAAAAAAACTTCAAGAAAAGTCTTGACTTATCATGATCGTGCCGTACATATCATTACGACGCCATGTTCTGGGTCGGTAGCAGACAAACCGACTCGATCAGAGAACGCGCGAAGGCTTGATTTAGTCTAAGCAATACCTCCGTGACGCACACCTAATAGCCACATCCGTTGTCTTTTTAGCGGAAAAATAAAACTAGTTCTTCAAATATGCCGGTAGTATTTTTCAATAAGGTTATGAAGAAGATAAGCTGCTATTTTTTCGCCACTTTAACCGATGTACGCGTTAGAGAGACACGAGTAAAGCAGGCAACAATCATCCTGTTCATTTATTTACGATGGCCAGGCCCAAGTGAGGACCACCTTACTGCATCCAGAATAGCCCGTACCGGCGTATTTTACTATTAAAAAAAATGAAAGTTCAACCAAGGTGGGCAGAATTCGTAATCTGACAAGGTTTTGCTTGGTCTGACAACCGTATGTTGACTTGTATTGCGTTGTGCGTCGTTTCTGATATATATATATATATATTTTTTTTTTTTATCACAGAAGCATATAGCATTGTCTGTCTAGAAAATGAAAACCTTTACTACAGTCTACTGCTGACTAGGTCACTGTATATCTAAGTTTTAAAACAGCTTTTGGTGTGGTGTAGTGACGCCTAGTCCAATTAAACATGAATATCATGGACTTCGTTGGCAAGAATGCCCCATTTTAGCTAGCGGGTGCGTTCGCTGCAGCAACATTTAGCCTTCACGAAGCTTTCCGGGACAAAAGCTTTGTCACTGTTTTCCTCTTTATTGGTTTGTTATTGTTCTCGATGACACCCCAACGTTCGGTCAAACCAGTGTTACGCTAGAAGGAACATCCAATATGTGGAATAGAGAATACTACGATACATAGGGAGACACAGCTAAGCGATAGGACCGGCTGCTGGCGGTTAAATAGAGCGGAATGCGATCAGGCCATAGAGGTTTGCAAAGCAGGGCGCATCGCTAAATAATTCTCTTCTCCAGCTTTCATGCGACCTCACAATGAATTGCTTTACAGTTTATCAAGTACACATAAGTTTTTTCAAAAGTGTTTCAGAGGTGGTGTAGCTATTCTGCAGGTGTCTTCAGACTTTCCGAAGAGTCATTTTGGGTATCCTTTCTTTTTTTTTTTTACAAGCCACTTAAAATGACGTATGGTGCTATTTTGGTATGGTTCGTATTACGCTACATATTATGGAAATACAATAATAGCTAGAAATATAGTAATTATAAATTAGAGAGAATCTGAATCGTGCTTCATTTGACTTCTATTCCAAGTAAGTGTCGGGGGCATTTTATACGTGATAAATTACATTTTTATGCATAAGCTTCATTGTTCACGACAATAATTTGCCGTAATTTGTAAATTAAATTGCTGTAATCTGTGGGTGAAATTGTATTTTTCAGTGGTATTCTTTTATGCAATGTTTCCAAGCTACAAAGACCGCTTATGTATGATAGTTCAGAAAAAAAAATTAATAACAGTAATAATTATTTGTTATTTTTTGTGGATCGAGTTTGGCATGAATCACTATGTTCGGGAAACACAGGTTGAAATGTAAGTACTACATGTTCGTACTCTTAAAAATTTTCTCCAACAATAACCGATGCCGCCGATAAACTCGTCTGCGACGCAAGTGGTGATATGAATCAAACGCTTCTTGTAGTAGACCCTATCATAGACCACTCCGATAGTACTACCCAAAGATCGGTGTTAGCCGGCGTAAACAGAAAGGCCAGCGCACATTTCTCTGCGCTGCCATGGCGTCTACACCCAATGACGTTGTTAGAAAAACCAGTAAAATGAAGAATTAAAAGAAGATAACTAAAATATTACTATGAAGGTCGATAACTGCTTGTATGTGTGACATGTCCCTTTGTTATAGGTCTGTTGGGGGAACTCCAGATCCTGGTTCCGGCCTATTTCGGTTAGACTATTAAAGGTCCTTGAGGTTTACCTCTTAACCAGTGGAGGCCGTTACGGCACATCGATCCAAGCGACAATTCAATTTTCTTGGAAATAACGCCACAACCCTTAGATGAAGTTCCTGCAAATAAAACACTAACCGGCGCTGTATCCTGTGACAACAGTAGCTAAATGTAGAAATTACAAAGAAGAATCAGAAAAATCTATTTTTCTTGGCATTGAATGTGTTACTAAGTGACTAAGTAAATGCAAAAAAGAGAGCTCATGATTCCTACAAGACTTGGTTATGTTTTAGTCCAACGGATGCTGGCAACTTTCTCTAAGCCGGCCTGCAATTGTGTCACGATCTCGACGTAAGTACCTGCACACTGCAGAGTGTGTTCTTCCAAAATCTTCAAAGGTCGCATTGATGAAGACGACGACGATGATTTGGAAAATAGGAAATCTCACATAAAGCCAATTTTCGGCCGGCGCCATGTAGCCACCTCTCTTCAGTGAGGCCGATACCATATGAAATGCCGTATCTAATCCGATTTTCTAATGAGATGGCGCCTCCAAAAAATAGAGGCATCGATACACGTACAAGCTTTATATATATGCATGACAGATTAAAATTTGATTTTTTATATTTTCACAAGTGCATCATTTGAGAAAACCTTCAACGAACGTGCGGTTCTTGTCATTGTGCGATTGGGTTTGTGGGGCTGTGTGGGTAACGACACAAAATGTGTACAAACGTTTCTAATAGAGTAAATTCCATCTCATCGTACGTCTTTCGTACCGAATTTCACGATAGGCTGTTCCACGCTGTCTCTAGTTAACCAGAATTCAAAATAATTTCTATCCGAGATGTGTTAGTTTGTAACACATGCGAGAAGCAGCGTTCCGTATCCTATGGATTTTTCACTATTTTTAACCTTTCTACTAATATTTCTTATTCGTACCAGCTGAAACCGATTATAAACATACTCCTTTTTGCCTCAGGAGTTGGCCACCGGAGCAATGCTTAACGGCAGCACCGCACATAAAACTCGAAAGATTTACTCAGTACCCACATCGAATCGTTTGCACAATAATAATAATAAAAATGTAATAATTACAACGAGGTCCAGCAACGTTAAAGTCTACGGGATAGCTTTTGTAGAACGTTTTAAAAAATTAAATATCAGCCATTTCAATACATATTTTATACTTAGTTATAAGCGGCTGGTGTTTTTCGAAACGAGTGTGCCTACGCCTGATTTCGAACCTAGAGTAACTTATGAATTTAATGCGAATGGCTTATACGCTCTAAATAGGAGCAAATATCTTGCTAGATTGCGCCTATTCTGCGATAGCGAATTGCATCACGCGCCTTGGAATAGTTTTAAAAATGTAGAAACTTTGCATCATATGTGCCGTCTAGTATCGTTTTCACCATTAATCCGAACAAATATCTAGACAAACTTCCTTTGAGGTGCGTATTGCCGAAAACTAAATCTCACCCTGCTGATTTACGAGCTGCATTGCTAATTTAGTTGTTGCCTGATAGCCACCATAGCCTTCATTTTCCCTTCGATGAAGTGTGCCGTTGGCCGGACCCATCTGGATATACTCGTTGCAGTCGAACGTCTGTTGAGCGTCCGGCGGCATCGCGTTCCAGTACGTTGGCGAGTTACTAAGAGCAACAAGACCCGCCCTTCTCCGATGATGATAGCATGTGGCCAGCGTGGCTGCGAACAGAAGAAAACAGAATCCAGACAAGATGGCGATCACCGTCAGAGTTCCTTGGGCGAACGGATCGGCGTTGCTTTTCTGAGCGACCGGCGAGAACGACTCGTGTAACTGCACGCTGAAGTCACAGTCCTGACAGCCCGGCCTATCAGGCTCCTCCTGGCAGAGTGAATAGCTCAGACAGTTGATTGGTCGACAGCCTGTCGACTCACTACGCCGGTGGTAACCCGGCATGCATTGATTGCATTCTGCACCCCGATGCCCTGGTAGGCATTCGCAACGTGGTATGCCCTGAAACGATGCAGAACCACCAATAAATAGTACTTGGGCCTTTGATCGTTTGTCGAATCGAAGTAGCAATGAATTTCTTTTAAATACAGGCAATGCCGTATATAATGAAATAGGCCTGAATCCTGCATACTCCCTGACAGAAGGCGTACATGCTACTTCCATCGAACGTATCGATTTAACTGTTCAAGCAGAAGTATGTAGCTGACATAGACCCATATTTGCTGTATGCCCTTGGTTTGAGCATGAGTAAAGTGGAAACTTATTGCAGCTCTATCCTTACCGTTCTGGGATCGACGTCGCAGACGCCGGTTGACGTAATGTTAGAGCAAGGACACTTGACACACTCTTTTACATCCTTCACGAATCCTGGGGAACAGCGCTCGCACCAACTGCAAGCCAGTAGTAGTCAGAGAAGATGCAAATTTGCTCTCGTTTATGAATCCGTTCCTGGTAGCTCGGAAATCGATTACATTTCTTTTTATTGTATTCCTTTCATTATTCTAGTTTTTCTATTCATATGTCTGAGTTCAACTACAAGGCTTGTAAAGAAACATTTATTAACAAGCGCTGCTTAACCATACTCACCGTCCCTGGTATCCTTCGTAGCAGGCGCACTCGACGGAATCTAACGATGTCCGGGTGCAGGCCAACATACCCGGCTCCGAGCAGTTGCACTCTACGAAGCCAACCAATAGAAAATGTTCAACAAAAAACTATTAAGTGCACTTTTCCAGACCCGTAAAAACAATTTCCAAAAGCTGACTCAGGGACGCACAAAAATGTCCGTCATATACAGGCATGTTGTAGACGACACCATCGATCATTCCCCTAAGATAACTGTAAAGCTGAACCGTTTAAAATCGGTTGCCTAATTATTAAGATAGTCAACGACGATTTCAGGACAAGCACGTTACCGAACTACTACTAGCTTATAGTGCTTGGTATATTCGTCATTTGCCTTCTGTTTCGCGTATTTTTTTGGAATAATTATACGTAAATCCCTTTGTATGTCATGACGAGAGACACGAGATATGGTGGCAGCCCGGGGCCAGACCTATTGCCATGATCGTACAAATAATTGTGTAAAAGGATTGCCGAGTAACAGTCCATTCTGTTAGCGGACCACTGTTAATAACTAACTTCTATCTTCACATGTACAACCCTCTGGATCTCTACAGGATAGCGGCGTTTTATCAATAATCATCTTTAAAAGCTCTAAACTAGGTCTAATCTTGACTATAATCATACTACAATCACACTTATATGCTGTCCTGTTTGCAAACGTATTCTGGACCTTTTAGAGAAGTTCGACCATACTGGCGCCGCGCTGATCATGATTATTTTAATGTATATACGAAGCGGTTTCCTATAGACATCAGAATACCTTATTTTTGGAAAAGAGACCGTAGCATCTCGTCGCAATCTTATGTTGCGCGTAGGGCAAAACCAGCCGTCTTATCTAAATATTTTTGAGAGATAGAAGTAATGACGCCTGAACGAACCTTTGATGGTATTAGGGGACTTAAGATTTATGCTATTTATGCCACATGTTTGTTTTGAACTCCCTTGTTCGGAATGAACACACATCCCCAGATCTTTTTTTGAAATGAAAGACTCTTTCGAAAAGTCTAGCAGCATAAAGCCTGCCGAACATTATTGTTTTAAAAATTATTTAGAGGTTCGTGGTGTATCTTCACGGTCTTCACGTGTATGCACGCTAGAGTATTACGCTAGGATTCTTAAAATATTAACTGTTTACAAGAACTTTAGAAGTTGCACTGCTAAGGAAAGCATCAGGCCAATCCACTTCGAAACGCGGCGGGGAGCGTGCAAGAACTCTTATTGGTTGTATCTACTTGTCCAATCAAGGTGGGTATCCAATAAGTGTAATCTTTTTCGATGCGGTCCTGATTTGTGAACAAACTGTGCATCCAATATCAGTTTTGGTGCGTCGACATTTTGCTATATGAGTGGAGCTGCTGTCCGTCTCAAGACTGTGCGGCACAGAGGTTAACTGTAGCACCTGCTTATTAGAGGGATCTGCCTTTGAACCTTTTTGTGGACAGGGCATGCGACAGCTGTTTCAAAGGCTACTGGATTTTCGCCGGCTTTCGGTTGCTGATCCTTCAGGTGTCGCCATTCTGTATTCACTGTACATTTTAAAGGAGTGGCACATAAAGCTATTTCGTCTCTTAAAGATTTCGACCCTTTTCTGGGTTACCAAAGTGAAATTGTTCTTCTAGCAACTTCGTAAACAGCTAAAAGTGATAGAACTGTAGCAGACATTATGTATATATATATTTAGGTTTGCAGCATGTAATTGGCAGGCCGTATCTATGGTCAAGGGTCTATCCTATTCTATAACATATTTGAGCAGCTGCACTGATTGTGTAACTTGAATAGGATTTGCACTATATAGGCGAATATCATTGATGTATATGGGAGCATATGGGGAAATGATTCGCAGAACGCAGTTCTTGGAAACGCACGAGCCGATACGATTATGTACATCATCAATATAATAGTGTGGTCGATATCCCTCATTTGACAGCGGCTAGCTAGGCAGGCCTGATGAACGTTTCCAACAAGTCGCCGCGTCTTATATCGATTTGAACAGACGCGTCCTGCATAGTACTATAATAGATTGGACTTTACACTGAAAAAATGACAGTTATTCGAGCTAATTCGTGTGTCTGGTTAAAACGTTATCGGACAGGACGCCGCTGACAAGCAAAGCGGCACCTGATCTACCTTTGTTATTATGTCAAGTACACATACATACAAAGAGTATAGCGATCCCTTCGAACTTAACAATACATCTTGCCGACGTGGAAGCACACACCGTAATCAATGATCCGAAGCAACTGGCCACTCTCGGTAAATAGAACGCCTTTAGAATATCGCGTTAAAGTTATACGGGAAGCAATGCGCAGTGTCGCGGTTCGCGCACCGAAATCTGCGCCTCAATTGACTATTGCAGGACGCGACAAGCAGGACGACTACGTTATGGAAACTAGAGCCATGGCTTTTATGACAGATTTACCGTAACTTTTCTGAAAAGATTAACAAAAATGAAAAGCTAACTACGCGATGCAGCTTCCGTTGTTAGCTTTTCAATATGGTACGTACAACGGTAGAAACGATGTACCTTTGTTTCAAAATACACTTCACCACTGTAAACCACAGCTTCCGAAAGAAATAAAATTTTTGTTTTGAGAAAAAAGAGATCATAAAAAGTTTTTACAGCAAGTTCTAACTGTAATATTTAAAGTTACAACAAAGAGTTAACAATATATGTATGTGAGGAGTTTCTTGATGCGTCTCTTCAGTAACATTCGAACGAATATCCAGGAACATCCGCATGGGCGACAACCGCTGCCGGGTGAGCAGTGGTTATTGGATGGTGTAAACGCGGCGCGACATCCTTTACCAATCGGTGATACGTTTTTGCGTCCCTTTATTATGAAATGTCGAGTGACTTATTGTATAGGGGGCGGTTGTGGCACGATACGCTCATGTCTAGATGAGGATTTGTTCCGAAGATGGCTGTAGAAATAACTGATAGTGTGGTAAATGCCGTTACGGAATAGCATCACCTCTAGGAACTATCTTGTTTAGTGCGTCTGCGTAGACCCGATGATTTCATAACAACGTATTAAACTGTGTCGTTCCTCCATTGAAGAAAAGTTTGCTTGTATGAGCTTTTCAACCCGACATCATTTACGACGCTACTACGAGATATTCATTTTAGAACAAAACATAGATAAAGTAACAGCGTAAATAAGGACGCCAACGAAGTCTCAAATTAAAACCATAATAAAAAAGTATTAAATAAAAATTACTTCACTCGAAGGGACAGTTTTTTTAAATTTATATACAGAAGTGAACTTAGAAAAATACTTAAATACGAAAAACAGGACGATTGTTATCGAAAGTCAATAGAAGTGATAGCTTGTAAGGCCCTTATTGTTAGGAAATTGACTGGGTTATTTTTATTAGGAGGACTACTCCCGGGTTATCTGTTCCAATCATCTATCGTCACTAGATAACGAAACAATGAACAGGTGTTAAGAAATCTTCTTAAATACAAATAGAAGCTTCCATGGTCTTCGTCGACTGTTGTGACCTAATATATGCTGATCTCTATATCAGTGTCTCAAGTTTTACGTCTGGTTCTACCGCGGTTACGCATTAGTTCAAACAGCTAGTCTTACGAAATATGTCTACTGGCCAATTTTGAACCTAGGCTATTTCGTTTGCTTCTAAAGTTCGCAAGTAGACACGCTACTGCCTTACTATCACGGAACAGTATCATTACATCGATGTTTCTCTCACGTGCTGTGACGCCGTTTCACGAATCGATGAAGTAGACAAGCAGTAGAATGGTGAATTAGGTCTAATATGGTAAATTTAAATATATAAGTAATGTACATTGACATTTGTAATTGAAAGAGCTACCAAATGGTATGATTATGCTGCGCCGTGGGCGTCTAGGGACTCTGAATGACCCTATTTGACTGACTCCTTACTAAAAACAGTGGCAGGCTGCAATGGTTGCGGTTCCTCACACGGCTTGGCGCGCACCCGGCTACGCCTAGGTCGTACGGACAAAAAACCATCGCTCACGGTCTTGTGCGGAGTCGGTCACAGCTGGTACGGATTTCGAACGCTTCTGAAAGGGTGAGGAGTTCAGCTGGGGCGAGAGCTGAGAAAAAACTGAACGGGTTTCACATAGCTTAGCGATGCGTTTCGCGGCCAGGGCGGCCGCAGGCCGTCTGTTGAGGTATTACTGCTTTGGTTGACTCGAGCAAGGCGCGTCTGAAAGCTTTCGCCGTCATCCAGAGACTGAGGCGCCAGCTGAACAATGGTTACTTTGCCGTTCTAACGGCCGAAGTTCACCATCTCTTTCTATCCGCCTAATAGGTCTACACTGTGCAAGAAATCAATACAGGCCTCCAAGCTGGGTAGCTGGCCGCTACTGGAACCTGCTGCGACACTTGTTCACCCTCTCCCCACTGCAGCAAACGTTTGCGGCAAGACGTTCTGAAGGCGTCGAGCTGCAGTGATGGGTGGGCCCACAGCTTAAAGCTATGGCCACGGGGATCTTTCAAGTCGATACGAGAAATAGAGATCTCAGTTACATTGGTTTGGTGTCCCAGAGTTAAACGACTCTTTCGGAGTGTAGCCGATGAAAACGACCATAACTTTACAATAGTAGCAGGTAATTCGCGTAGTATTACTATAAAAAAAAAAAAAAAAGAACAATTGCAATAAAAGCTAAACAATACAGCTAAACAGCTAATTGAAATCACGGCTGAGAGTTAGGGACCTGACGTTTGCAATCATATATTTCAGGTTCAGTTTTCATCATTGTCATAGCGATTCTTTGGGGTATTATTTCGAAGCATAGAAACCTCAATTACGGTGATACTTGTTTTTTATTGGTCAGTTAAATGCTTGAATAATTTGTCAGCGTCAATATGGCGGTTTGTAGAATTATCCCCACTTATCCGTGCTTTGTGAACGTAAACCTCTAACGAGCATTCCTATATATTTAATTGCATTCCTCCTGCCCGATTACGGACGCCATCAACACGCATGGATTTCAAACTATAGCAAAATAGATACGTCCGATCTGAAGCTTTGCATATCAAGAATAAAATGGTAAAGCTAGAATCCTTAACTAACCAATTTTGTGGTCTACAAAGGTGTCATCGGCTATGGGCAGCTCGTTGACAGCGTAGTCCGTCCGGATAATCAGTTTTGGAGCCGGCGAGGTCTGGATGTTGGGGTACACCTGCAGTAGTAGATTTAGTATGAATCGCCGTCGGTCCTTATACGGGACTAATCTAGGACAGTAATGTTGTATCTTTCAAATGAGCTCATTGTCCAAAAGTAAACCTATCACAACAATGAATGCGTTTAGCTTTGACGTGTTCCGCTCAAAACGAACAGAGAGGTCTAGATAAGGGGCTTTACACCGGCGATCTGCTCCGTTAAAGAGAAGGATCGGGATGGAGAAAATCGATCGACTAAGCAGACTCACAGCAGAAAGTACTACAGCGTATTCGGTAGCCTCGCTGAGGTTAGACACCAACTTCGAAGTGACCACAGCCGGAAGCATAACTGTACGTTCATCATCTGAAATAATTAACACGTCGTACAAGAAAATGAAAACTTATATGCAATTATACATTGAACAGTTTTACATTCAATGGTGTTTCGGTTCTGTTGCTAGTACGTCTATACTAGAAGATATATGTATACGTAGTTGATATCGTCCGGGTCAATCCTTGTCAAGCTTTCGGTTAAAACTTTCTAAATTATTCCCCGTACGAGGATAAAAAACAAAAGCAAAATAAAGGTTAACTTCGCAATCGATCAGCAAAAACAACAACCAGCAAAGCTTTGGAGAAAATTCACTTGTTATTAAACATTTCTTTTTAGTACTCTGTATTCTTGAATATTATTCAATTTGTCTCTGTCATATCTGCGGAAGTATTGATATGTATCTAATCTTGAATGCTCCATTTAATGGAATGACTAATAATCATCTGATAAATTTGTCATTTGAACAATGATTATGTACGTACATCTACCTAATTACTTTTCAGCAGGATATCGATTTGTTCTAGCGGATAACGATAACAATATGCCATAGAATGATAGCGAATCTAAATAGCCTTCCAGACTAAGAGATATCACTCGGTCTGACAGATTTCCAGATCCAGATAAATTCTGCTAGCTATATTCGTACCCCGTAAGTTCGAGATAACGTGCACCAACGGCAACACTTTATGTCACTACTTTAGATTAAGGTCTATAAAGTATTTTTCTATGTTCGACTGTCACTTTAACTATGTGGCATCAGCGGTTTCGATCGCCGAGTGTGTAAGGCACTGCTACCATGTTTTCATTGTTACCAGAGCGTTATCGAACACCTGGTGAGTACCTGTGTGGCGTTGGTATTAGATATGTAGCAGCACACGCTAGTGACCTCGTTAAGGCCTTACTTGCCGACGTCTTTTATTTTCCCTCTGTATTCCAGCAATTCCCCTGTTCTAGATTCGACACTAACCAATCCCCTCTTCAGTGAACTGAACTATAAGAAGAGATTTGTAGTTTCGGGATCTTAACAATGGTCCGCAACTTGTAGCCATTTCGATCTATCGACAAAGACAGACCGTCTCCAAACGTCCCCTTCGATTAGGACGACAGTAGCAGAGATATGGACTAACCTGGGGCAAGTGTCGAATGAGTAGGATCAATATAAATACACAATGGTACTAGTATATGATGCAAAGACGAGATGGCTTCTTGAACTTTTGAGCACGAGTTAATGTGTACTATGCAAATAAATAATGGGAGTGTTATGAACGTAACGATACTCGCGGATCTGTGTCCTAAGATATCCGTGCGATGCCTGACAGGGCTTATTCATTAATCCGTTTATTGCGTTTACATTCTGGATAGATTGTAAAAATATATTTTTTAGGGATAAACTGTGCTTTGCATGTCCTAAACCAAACTGTAGATATGCCGTGAAATATTGATACATATGTTTGACTGATTTAGAGCCGACATTAGACGTTTTTTTTCGGTGTTCAGAGAAAGAATATGACTATCTCGTTAATTCCCACAAATTCAATCCCACAAATACGAGCTTGGACGGGTACCAAAGGCAGGCACAAGACCAAGTAGGGCCAATTAGGTTTACAAAAGGTGCCGAAGTAACTAGGATCAGCTAATGCGCTGATTTTCAAATTAATCGTTATTTCATAAACCGTCTCGTTTCGTGCCAATAAAGATACTAAAACGCATCAAATTTGTCAAACATTTTAGTTTTTAGAGTTATGTTTCTCTGTAGTAACTTACTAGTCAGATTTAGTAAACTGTTACTTGCTAAATCTACTATGCTTTTTTGACCGTCGTTTTTGTCTCAGACCTGTTTTGTCATCACTGTGTCGTCCTTTCTCAGCAACTTGGCGTTCACGTATCTTCGTGTATGTGCAGGATAAAAATATATATATGCCGACTCCCCTGAGTTGTATGCCCGCCGTACATTATTTTTTCTACCTTTCTGTATGTCCCGCTCCTGCTGTCATTAGGTGACGCAGTGTCGCTGGTGAGCTAGTCTTTCTACGTTGGTCCCTACAGAGTACAAGTGAGATGACACTGTTGATGTTGATGTATTCCGAACTGATAAGCGCGACCCTCATCGACGACAGACAAGGCGAGTTTGTTTGCTTGGCACGCATGCTTCCCGTTGCTCTCAAGACTGCGCATTGTCCTAATAGAAAGTCATCCATTCCTCCTTAATCAATTTCTGACTATGCCGAAGTGTAATGCACTCATGCCGACATGCGAGCACCAACGAAAGCAAATCCTCCCAGTCGAGCATCTTCACTTCAAAGCCAGACCTCTATGTCAGTCCCAGCGAACAACGATCGGCGAGGTATCCCAGCAATGTTTGGCCGCAGGTTTTCCACAGGTATGGATCTCTGTGTAATCATTCTACCGGGCAGATGGTAAGCGACCCTAATGACCCAGCACTTACCAACGAAGAAGCAAGTCTACTGAATAGGTGGATAACATGCGCAGTGGGCTAATCAAGTAGCGGCCAAAGCAACTAGGGCTTGTTAGCTGCAGCCGCGTCTGCGAAAACATCTAGGGCAGAGCTCGGAAGATGATACATGAAGTGCTCTGTCCGATTCCCGGTTTGGCCGTCTCATCAAGTTACTGTCCGGAATTGCTGGTTGGTTTCAGCCGTCGACCAGGATGCCACCAGATGTTTTGACGCGTGGCGCTCCTTCCACCGTCGTGCTTCCGTTTATATTGCCCCTGCAGCTAATGCCACTATCGGAGTGCGCAATCTGCCTTAGGGTTTCGCGTAAGCTAGCCCGCTTTACCCAAATTTCCAGCCCGAAGCTAACAACAAATATGGTGGAAGCAGCAAAAGCAAGAAACGCCAGAAGCAGACCTATGACTAAATCCCGTAGCAACAGCTTCGATCTTGATTGGCAGTCGGTCCTCAGCGATAGCCATGGCGGCAGCGAACGGTTTTAGCGAATGCCTGCATCGGCGAACACTGCTACTGTCGTTTCTGCTCTTTACCCTTTTCCTCATCTATTTCGCTGTTTCTGCTACTGGAATCGTCGGAGAAGAATACATGAAGTAGAGAAAACTTGTCAACTCTTCCCTTGGTTTTCCCAATAGGCGGCCCATCTCTATATTTCGGGTTGCGCGTCTCGTTCTTTCGTCCTAGTTTGCTCTCGCGAGCCGACCCCCGCCTCAAGGTGTCCTTACGGTGTCCCCAAGGAAAGCGTTAAAGTGGGGACAGCTCGTCCGTTATCGACTCGCCAAGAGGCTGCAGGCGGGCGGTAAGAGCTGAATGAAGGTGCTGCTAGAGGCTACCCTCGCCGCTTTGCTCACACGGCAGGCGCTCCCGTCACGAACACCAGTCCCTGTTATGGTAGCCATTTTTGTCGTTATTATTGTCGCAGACGTCTTCGAAATTCGTGTGCATCTTGTTTGATGGCTGTTACCTGCTGCAACATAGCTCCTTTGCTGCGTTCGATTTTGCCTGTGTTCTTGGTTACTACGTGTTTTAGCTATTTGCCATTACATACTTGTATAGGCATTCGATAGTACCTAAGCTACAGACGTTCTGCTGTTCATTTGGACGGTTTCGATGTACGGTAGAACTGAGCTTGGTGGCATACAAGCTTCCGACGTAGTAGTAGCAAGCAACAGCGTCCTCCATTGCAGCTCATTAGAAAATCCTTCCGACAAAAACAGTTCGAGAGGTATGTAGTCGTTGACTTTTTAAGTTGTGCGATCCCAGGGGGCTCTGCTTTTTCTTTATGTTTTCTTTGCTACGGCGCTCAACTGACGGCAGAGTAGTTTTAGTTCATTGGCTTTACCCCAAAGGGTGGCTATGTCCCTAATTCCTGTAGAAATACATTTGTATGTATAAAAATCTTTTTTTGTTGCAGTACATTGGTAATCGAAACAGCATGGTGTGTCTACAAGAATGTTTTATCACGGGGATGTAATGTATACGTTTTTGTCATTCAGTAGATGATCAGGCATGAGTCTGAACAAAAAACTACTGGTGAGACTGCTTGAAATACCAAACCATCTATGCAGCCCTCTTTTATAGTGCTAACACACGCACGAGAAAATATATGTGTATGTCGCATATCAGAAAAAGATAAGAAACGCCAGCAGCGGACAAGCAGCGATCAGAGGAAAGTACTTGCGAGTCCAGCCGCGTGGGATTAGGCCCCCACCTGTGGGGGCTTAAATCGTAGCCACAAAACAGACCCCCTAAAACATCAGGGTACGGAGGGGGAAAATCTGCTGGCACCCATAGATAGAAAGGGGAGAGAAAGAGAACGAATGAAGATCGGACGGCATTTCATTACCAAAATTGACCGACGATGCTAGATGGCAAAAAAGAACGTAAATATGGAAACGTCGATCCAGACCCGGCGCTAGACTAGCCAGTAGCCTCTGATCAAGGGGATGCTACCTGGATCAGCTCCGTCGGCTGAGGCAAAGCACCAAAACTATGAACTCTCTACACCAACATATTCCGGTTCGGTAACCAGCGCTGAGGCCTTTCATTTGCTAACGGGATTCGCCGAATGACCGATGGCCGTGTGTCGCAATTCGAGGCCGCACCATCATCCGTACGATGGCTGCTTATATAAGCCGGTTCAATAAACGAATCTAACCTAGTCGCGTCAATTCGGCCTGCGTCTCTACTGGTCGAGTGGGCCTTCGCGTCACCTAATATCCGAGTTGGCACAGCATTACGGCCTGTTCAGTGGAATATTTCTGTTGAAAGAGTCCGGAGTCAAACGGTGATTGCGCAGACAATGTTGATGCTGAAGAGGTCACCTTTTATTAAACCTTCCAAGAATACTAAGTTGTATATTTTACTACCCGTGAAAACAAAAATATAGCATTGATGTGTTGTAAATTAAAAACAAGAAAAAATTTATCTGAGACTGTGTGACAACTATCCATATATATATATATATATATATATATATATATATATATATATATATATATATATATATTTTATCTCCAACAGATATTAGAAAATATTAATTTAATAACGCGACAGTTCGTTGACACATCGAGCAAGGCTGTACTTACGAACGCGATGTCTAGATGTAACCGGCGACCACGAAAGCATGTAGCCCATAAGTTTAGCGTTTGTTTGTTTCGGTGCATATGGCGGTTTCCAGCGGAGAAGGAATGATGACTCTTCTACGGAATCAACAAACACGTCCCGCGGTGGTGGGAGTATAGACACTGTAAGAAAAAACACAAAAAACCCATTTCAGGTTGGTGGGTCAGATGTAATATTGTCGAGAACCTTGTTCGTAGAACGACGGCAAGAAGACGCCCACATTTTGTTTAGTATCCGCTAAATGAAAAAAATAAGCATTTAAAAAAGAAGCCATTAAACTGCTCGAAGTAATCTTACGCTCGAAGAGATGGTTATGCGTCCATGCTGTCGCAGCTCGACAATATAAAGCTGAAAGTTAGATGGAAATATAACGAATCTATGTTTGCTTTTGGTGTCGTCTTCTGTTTAGGCACAGATCCGCTCTTTAATTTTCTAACATTGATAAAAACTATGCGAAGTGAAACAAGCTATCACTTTTTCATACAGAAACATAAAAGCCGATTCATTTACAACACCATCTTGTATTCCGACAGATACATCATTCGTAACGATCATTAAAAAGGACTTTATTCATTTTCACAAATGGCCAAGACATCTATCTACCAAAGCAAACTTCTGTCTAAACAGGGTGACGCTCCTCATAATTGAACACGCTAGACCTAGCAAGCTCGATTTCGTAATGCTCCACATCATTTAGCAATACGGTCAACTAACTAATAATAAGCCTGTACTTCTACACGCATGACCTTACATATAAGCAAAGAAAAACTCCCGGCTGAGCCAAGTGTATGTCTGTATTATACGCCCCTTGGCCAGTTTGGTTCTTTTATTAAGTAGTTTTTTTCATTTTCACGTTTTCTGACCCTCTATATATATATTTTTTTATAGTTTTCACGCCCTTGTTATATTTATGCACATATATATATATACATATATATATACAGACACATATATAAATTGCCTCTATTGTTGAACTCATTGCAAACCTTTGATATTGTCCCCCTGTTTATCTACGATAGTAGCAACTAGAGAATACTACTAATAGAAGTAGTTTGGAAACCCCAAGGTTGGGTACGTTTTATGTCGACGCTATTTTACCATATCTCTAGTGACTTCGTCAGCACGTGACTGAATCTTCCGCCCTAAGAGGGGCGCTCTTCGCAAACAACAGTACGACTCCTGTTTCCAATCGCTCACATATGACAACCACACCTATTACCCACATGTGCATATGCCAGTAGGATGCGCGTGTGTGTACACACCTTTGTGGCATAGCTGGACAGCTAACCTACAACATGTACATACAGAGATATCTAGCATATGATATCCATATGCGTATACATGCCGAAAATGCTATTTTGTCGTAATACCCTTAGCAACTATGACTGCTATTATGGTCGTGCCTTTGTTTAATCGCCGAAATATATGACGAAGGACAAATATACGTAAATGCGCCACGGCAGCAGCGCCAGGCGAAGAACAAAGACAGCGAAGTTGGTAACACGCGGAGACGACCTAATGGCTGCTCGGTAGCAATCCCTCATTATGTTAGTTTATATCACACGCCAACAGCCCCGCGTAATGCAATACTATTCTTGGTGAGTCAGTCCGACACGGACCACTGTTTCCCTAGTTCAATATCCGGATTGCAATGTTAGGTTCATACCGCTGGCGATATCGCTCCGCAATAGAATGAAATGAACACAGCTGTCATTAATCATATTTTGCACCCAAAAGCTTGAAGAAGATGTCGAGAGCAGTTATTATGACTCTGTGGCACAGATGCGTGGGTAATGTAAACCCGACGAGGACGTCGAAAATGCCAACAAGAACACATCTATTGTCAACCCCACGCCTCGACTAGGAAGCTTTGCTTAGATCTTGTTGCGTTGCTGGTAGCAGGCCATCGATATTATCTCGGCCAGTTTCCTATATACATGTCAACGGGATAGGTCCATTACATTCTTCCGCATTTCCCATGCACGTAATCGTTTTAAACCAATGTTGGCTTAGAATAGCGAAGGCTAAACAGATATACCTTTTCCAAAACAAATAGCGCAAAAAACGGGGAGCGGATGGAAGATTCTGACGACAAAGGTATAAGGAGAATCTGGACGACAATGAAGATTGCACGCGTGTTAGCCGAACTTTTGCAAGCATCCAGCTTCATTAAAAAATGGGTCGTTGGCATCGACAATGTGGAAGCAGTTACCCTCGACCATCCTCTGATAGGCCCGTTCCAACCTTTTGTCTACCTCTGACAGTCACGACGTTGGCCGGTGCCATTGCATTTGCTTTGTTTCCTTGTGAGTGGTCGTTTCATCAGAGACCTCTTTTACGTATAAGCACCTTTGGTGCCCTCATAGAGCATCAATAGGACCACTCGTTGGATCTTAGATACCGAATGCCTCTAACCTTCGTCCTGGCTTCTGAACACTTCGTTGCAGGTTTCGATTGTTCGTATCATACACAACTTCCTATAGGGAGAACCGGTTGTACGCTTTTACATTCTTACCTGAACCAACTAACCCTAATTGCCCCTTAGGCCTGCCACTTGATCGTGGCAGCCGTAGACTTCGCTTGGAAAGGGCTTAACCAGTATTGACTTAGTCCGCGGCGGCCACTTTCAATGGTCAAAGGCAAACGATGCAGGAATAATAAGAGAACAGATAAAATGCCCTTGTACAACAACACAGTAATCGAGCGCCCGAAAAGGTCACATTGTAAATAAACGGTGAAGCAGAAGTCGTGCCAACTAAAGCCCGTTCTGCTAAGCTCAGCTGGAGATTAAGTCTATTGCTTCTTAACCATATACCGTAGGGGGGAAATTGTGAAACGCATTTTATTTGCGACCTCTCTAATCCGATATCTAAGTATGAAGGCATTCAAAATAATTAAATTTATAACAACAACAATAAAGGACAATGGGACATAAAACCGCATCAGATTCTGGCATCGTTTTCCATATATTTAGCTCCTACACGACGGCTTTGTAACGATACGTTCATCTTTCACAGCATCTTGTAGAAACTCTTCGCTCTTGAAAGCTCTCTGTTTTGGGGGTATATCAGATGCGAAGCGACGATCTGTATTCGTTCCCCTCTACACTTGCATACGCGGAAGAATTATTATAGTTGAGTATAACAAACTTCCATATTGTTGTATTTTTTATCGTTTGGCTTCTTGTCATAGTCTCCAAAGCAGCACCTTAATCGATAACGTAACGCCAATGTTTATATTTGCCTCATATTATCGTGGAATAATCCGTACGATCTTAGCAATTTCTGAAAATCTAAAAAAAGACAACTCTTCATGTGCATAGACAACGGGTACGTACCACCCTCGCTTCCAGCAGTGAAAACACGTTTCTGCAACGGCTATCAGATGCCTTCATCTATATATGCACATATGGCACTAGCAAATGATCCCTGAAACAAAATATAGTCTCGCGACGCTTTTGGTCTTATCCATTTTTGCTAGATGACTTTTAGTTGTCACCGTCTGACAACAGAAAAAGCTTTTACTAAACTAGAAAGGACTCAATCGTTTTCCGCTTATAGCGTTTCAGCTGTCCAGGCAGTGGCAGATGGTGGCGAACGCGTCCAGCGTCTGTCACGGCTTTAGAGACTCTAAGATTCGCTGGATACAGGACGGCCTTTCAGGACAACAAGTGGCTGGAAGAGCGCATAGATAATTAATGTGATGGCGTGTTGGGTGGCAAATGATCTGTCTGTCTATGCTCTGTTTACTAACTTATGAATCTGCCGCTGCAGTAGTCATTCCAACAACTGGAACTCAAATGGAACTGAGTGATCTGTGCACTGTTTTTGATGATTGGCACTGGCTGATACCCATTATTGGCGCCGTCAGTGTCTTGTGCTGCTTCTGCCGACGACTTCTGCTAACACATGCTAAAAATTAAAAATAGGGTATTTTTAAGCTAAAAAACTACCCAGTCCCGATGGCGTCTATCCGACAAATTCGCGTCAAATAATAATAGACATCATTTCGATGTTTCAAATTAGATATATTCGTGTATATACAACAAAGATATGACTTGTGTAGTCTTGTAGATCGATTCGAATGCTTCTGAAATTACTTTGAAAACGATAAATCTATTAACCTTTAAAGTAAAACGGGACGCGCTGTCCAGTTACACCGCTGGAGTAGGTACCTGTTGAATGTCTAGTTTTTTTTAATGTGTACTTTGTCATTGAAGAAATCTCCAAACGTTTATTGAATATGGCACGAACTTATTCGATATATATGTTACATTTAATGTAACATGTGTGTCTGCACCACTTACATTTCTATCTCGGTAAGTATTTTGTCTGTTTCAGATAGAAAACCAAATGAAGCAGGACCAAATTTCACTGCTGTGTGTTTTCCGCTGTTTCGCGGGATCCCACAATCTCCCTCTGCTCGTCCTGAGTGATCAATCTATACGTCGAAATCTCAGACTACGGCAGCGGCTGGTCTTTTTATGGCAGCTGCTCCATCTGCGAACAGCTGAGTCGAGCCGGTGGCCCTGTCATTCGCCCTTGCTGCCAGCGCCGTCACAACGAGCACAAAATGACATCAAAAAATTTTCAGAAGTTGCAGAAGAGAATAATCTATCTCCCTACCTTTACCTAGTTGTTGATGTGTTTTTTTTCTCCAATCTCCCTCTATCTCTCCGTATATAGATAAATATTCGATTGCGTGCGCATGGTACACTCTTTCGGATCCACTATCGATGGTGGGAAAAATCCCTTATACCGACAATTCATATTTGTATTGCAATACAGTTATTTGAAGAAGCTGGCTGTAGTATTCCCGTCTTTTCAATTATACTAGAGTGTTTTCTGAGCAATTCATGTTATTTTATAGCATTTCTAAATGTGATCGATGTATACCCCCAAGATGCCTTATCTATTGTTCAACGTTTTCTAGGTGTCTATCTTTGATTTAGTTTATAAATTATGTGATTTTTTTTAACGACAGCTCCAAAGACTATTAACGTCGAAAACTGTAGGATGGACCATAGATATAGCTATATGTTATATTTAATATGGACTTTTCGGTCACGACGAACGGTCTACGATAACAGTAGATGTCGCAAATTCCCTTTAAGAACGTGCTC